TTCTGTTTCATCTCTCATCTTTTGATCTAAATCATCCATTGTTGGCTCAATCAACTCCCAGCCACCTTGGGGAGCTTTCCGGCTTCTTTTAACTTTAGGCATTTTTTTCCCCACAAGGACACCAGGAATCAAGGATCATTTCAGGCCATCTTGGACACTGGCTACCACTGTGTAGGTATTGTTACATTTATATTTATAAATACAACATTTTATATATTGCATATATACCTAAAATTTTATTGATATTTACCATATTAGAAAATAAAGTTTTTAAATAGTTCATTTAAAACTAAGCCCACTGTGTTAACATAAATAATGCATTTTAATAAAAATATATCTTCCAAAACAAAAATAATTATAAAAATGGCATTATTTTACATTTCTGCAAATCTCTTAAATATTTGGTTTCACAGAAGAGTGTTGGATTCTCATTTTTGCTCTGCATACTCCACTTAACATTCATGAGAGAATGAGAGCAAAAATGGAAAGTAATATCTTAGTATCATTATAAAAATAGTTTCGACCTCATAGAACCTTCTCAAAGGGCTGAGCCACACTTTGAGAATCTTGAGCTAGATTATGATAGGTAACAAATGTGCAAAATCTCAGTAGCTTACAGTAAGAGTTTATTCCTTGCTCATGCTACATATCCACTATGGGTTGCCTACGCTTTTGTTCCATATCATCTTCACTAAGAAACCCAGGTAGACAGGGCAGCCTCTAGCTAGGAGATTGCCAGTCATTGTGATGAAGGAGAAGCACTTGGTAAACCATCCTGACTTGTAAAACTTATGTTTGGAAGTGATGTGTCATTTTCTTTCCTTTTTTCATCAGCCAAAACAAGTCACATGGCCAAGTTTAGCTAATCAAGGCTGGGACATATAAGCTTATGCAGGGAAGGGCCCTACTGGAAGGGATACCAAGTACATGTGGTATGTATACCTCTACTATGGTGTTTAAAGAATTCTGGTTGTGCATGGAGAATGGATTATATTGGGGAGAGATAGAAAGCTACTCAAGGGCAGAAGCAGCATCAGGAATTGACAATACTTTGGACAAGAAATTATAGTGGGTTGGAATAGGGTGATAGCAGGGGTCTAATTCAAGATGTACATTAGAGTTGGTAGAACTTGTGTTTGGAGCGGAGGTGAGAATAAGGGAAAATACTGAAAGATAACTTCTAGGTTTTTGTTTTGAGCAACTGAGAGGATGATGTAACATTTACTGAGATGGGGAAGACTGGGAGATTGGTGGGGTTTGCGGGGGATGGGAGTGGGAGGTGGAATAAATGTTCTCTTTTGACTATGTGGTCTGAGATGCCTATTAGACATCTGAATGGAAATGTCCAGTAGGCACTTGAATATATAAGTGTAGAGATCAGGGGAGAGGTCAGAACTTGGAATAGAAACTCTGCAGGCTGAATTAGCTAGCATAGGGCTGAATAGTAAAGCCATGGAGCTGGATGAGAGCATCTAGGGAGACAGCGTTAATAGGGAAGAGAAGAGGACCACGTGCTAATGGCTAAGACCAACATTTCTAGGTGAAACAGTGGCTTTGGATCCAGAAATGGAGATTGAGGAGGAGCCGTTGAGGTGAGGTGAAAACAGATAGAAATGAAAGCAAAAAGAAGAAAGTGTTTTAAGAAGGAGGAGTAGTCTGTTTCAACGTTCTAGAAGTCAGATAGGATAACGATAGCGGAGTGACCACGGGATTTGGAAACGTGGAAGTTACAGTTGACCTGGGTAAGTACAGTTTTAGTGGAGAGGTGAGGACCAAAGTCTAATTAGATGAGTTGAAGAAAAGATGGGAAGTGAGAAATGGAGACACCTCTTTTGAGATATTTTTTTTGTTGGATGGGTAAGTAGAGAAAAAGGAGACAAAGACGTGAAGAGGAAATGACGTGTATGTGAAATTTTCGTGTAAATTACATGTTCTATAAGTATTAGGCTTATTTTATTATTTATCATTGAATTCCTAGTAATTTCAAACTAACTCAATGTAGAGAATCACTAAAACTAGTCCCCAGCTTGCTGGCTACTAAGGCCAAAGGATCTTCAGCTAATGAAAGCCGAGAAATGAACAGACGAGTGAGAAAGAGCGGAACGGAAAACGAACCGGCGGAGAAGGATTCGCTGATTAATATTGACCTCCTAGGGCCACCGTTGGGCAGTCTCGTAGCTATTATTTTGTTTTAGGGGCGGAGCCTACAGGAAATTTAAACCAGAGCCGCGGCAGAGGGACTCTAGAGAATGATTTTACAGTTTCAGGGCAACAGCCGGTGCTGGGGAGTTTGAAAGAGCTCATGGAGTCCGCGAATGTAATACTGCGGCCTTGAAGGAGTACGGAGGCCGAGAAAGGGCCGAGAATTTGGGAGAGCCGGGAAAGGGTATGGATCCCTGGAAGAGGAAGAGGGAGTAAGAAGGAAAGCGGAGAGGGATCATGAGAGTTGTAGAAAGGATACCGGGGTCGGGAAGTGGGCACAGGAATTGGGGGGCGGATAGGTGCAGAAGCTGGGGAAGGTAGAGGGGCCAGGAGGGGTCACAGGAGTTGAGAGGACAGAGATCTAAAGAGGGCAGAGGGACTGAGGTGACAAGAGCCTGGAAGGTGGCACGGGAATTGAAATGTACTAGGGGTGGTGGCCTCGAGGCCCTGGGAGTTGAGGCAGAGGAGTCTGAAAGGAGGCGGAGAGACTGAGGGACAATTGCCTGAAAGGTGGCGCGGGAGTTGAGATGGGATGTGGTTAGAGATGGAGTTGAGTCTTGCCGTTCCCTGTAGCAGTGTCAGGGATTGTGTGGGATTTGGGGGGCGGAGGGCAGGAATGATTGAATAGTAAAGGTGGTTCAACTGCTGTTCTGTCCTTTTTCAGGCGACGATTGCTTTGAGCTGGAGAGTTCAATGGCTGAGAGTAGGCTCCGTGCCTCGGACCTAGGTAGGTAACAGGTCAAAACTAGGGATGCGAGGTCAAAGTTGCTGCTCCTGCCCCAGAGCCTCTTAGGAGGTAAAGGCCGAAAAATGTTAGCCCTGTTGGGGTCTTCTAATTATTAGTGGTTTTGTGTGTGTGTTGTTTGTGTTAGTGAATGCCATGGATCATTTAGGAATTCAAGGTGAAAGTCGAAAACAAGAGCTTTTGCTCTATTGTTATGAACAAGATTAGCAGACAGATGGGGAGTCAGGGTAGAGTAATTTATTAAATCCATATTCATGGTGATTTTTACCATAAAATTCTTAAGTTTCCAATAAATGTAAACACTCCTACCCAATTATGTAAGTATTTTAGCACATAGTCACGTCCCTCCATACTCCCACTCCCCTCTCTTTTAGTATCATCTGGTTTTAGTTCTGGATTATTACAGATATGCCATTTAGTTGTTGCCTTTTAAATGCTAATACACTTTACTAAGTTATTTACTCTTCCTTTCCATGTCTTGTTGCTTTCTTCTGGATCTATTTCTCTTTTTGCTGAAGAACTTTCTCTAAGAGGATTTTCAAAAGGGGGCTTTATATAATAAACTTTCTGAGGCTTGTATGCCTGAGAATTTTTTTATCCAACCCTTGTATTGAAAGTCTTGAGTCAAAGTTTTTTGACTACTGAAGAATTCTGGTAGTTTTTTCTTGCAAAAAGATGCTGTTAAGAATTGATGTCAATCTGATTGTTTACTTACTTTTCACTTTAGAAGAGTTGATTATTCTCTTTATAAATTTGTTCTTAAAATTCACTATGACATGATTACGTGTGAATTTTAGAGGGCTTTTATTTTTATCACAGTTTTTTGATCACATAGTAAAGGCCAAGGTCTACCACCAAAAAAAAAAAGGAAGAAAAAGGCAAGAGTAGGAGTTGCTCCTTTTATCCCTCCAGATTCCGGCTCCCTAGGGTATAACCATTTATCCTCTGTTAGCTATTTCTGTTTAACTTCTTGTTTCTAAGTAGTATGCTCACTGCTTTTATTATTTTAAATTTTAAATTGTATCTATTGACTTTATAATATAGAAGGTAAAGCTTTTTTTTCTGTCCCCCAATTCTTCTACACTGGTGTACACAATTACCTCCTCTCTTCTCATCCTACAGTGTATAATGTAGTAATTTTTGTTTAGTAATTTTGTATTTACATTATAATATGTAAAGGTTACTCGCAGCTGAGCCGTATAGTAAACTATGAAATGTGCTTCGTTTTCTGTGTACGGGTAACTAATTCATGTCCAAACTCTTTACCAGAAGTCTAAACCTTCTCTCAAAACTTTCATGTTCATCAGAGACTCTCAGTTTCTTTTTTGTCTGAAAGACATACCTTCCGAGACCATTCGTCTTAGTACTCCAGTCTGGTCCAGCTATGAACTAGGCCTGTCGCACTGATTTCATCCAGGATCTTGCTTTATCAGTCTATGGAATTTCCTTTGCCTCTTTCTTGTGTAGATTCTCTGTATTCTAAATTCCATATTTTCCTTTCTATATTTACTTCTTGTTTTTGATGGCGTACATTTTCTAGTATAGCATACTGAGAAAGGGTACATGATAAGTAAACTTTTTGAAACCTTACAGATCTGACAGTTCTGTGTTACCTTACATTTGAATGATAATTTTCCTAGGTAAAGAGTTCTAGGCTGGAAATAGTTTTTCCTCAAAGTTTTGAAGACACATTCCATCTTCCTTTAGCTTCCATCGTGCTATGGCAAAGTCTGATTTTGCAAATATTTTGATTCTTCCTCCTGAACACTATAAAGGCCTAGACTGTTCTATTCCTGAACCACCCCATCCCCATCTGTCATTATTGTTGTCTATCTTCTTTACTTTCAAATTAGTCATTATTTTTGTTTTATAGGGTCAATGAGTGTTTAGATTTATAGATTTTTTACCATTTTTGGCATTTCAATCCTCCCTTCTGGGTTCAGTTTCCTTCTTTCCAAAGTACACCTTTCTGAAGTCCTTTAGTAATAATTGGTTGATGATAAATTGGGGTTTTGTTTGCTTGAAAAATGTCTTTTACCTTCATTCTTGAATAATTGCTTAGACATAAAATTCTAAATTGACTTTTTTCCCCAGCATTTTAAATACGTATTTTATAGCGTATATCTGACCATTCTCTTTGGAGCTCTCAGGGATCTAATTTTGCTCTTTTATTTCTGCTGATTCTTATCCACGGTGATTTGTTTCCCTCGTGGGTTTTATAGTGTTAGAGTATGAGCTAATGTTTAATGATCCTTTATCTCCGGAAATTCTGGGAACTCTCGACTGAGCTGTCTACCTCTACAGTTTTGCTTTCGATTCTTTGAAGTATGCCAAAGTATTACTAGCTGGGATTACTTTTTACATTAATTTCTGTTTGGTGGTGGTGGTAGTGGGTTCTTAGACCACATAAGTAGTATGACTTTGAATTCCAAACTCTTGGGAGGCCTGTGGTTTAGAGTTTTCAAGGAGACTTCCCTTTCATGCAGACCCTAGTCTAAGATAGATAATACTCCTTTTTGTCTCTTCTGGTAGATGGACTGTTTTGTTTGACTTTTTCTCCTAGATTTATGCAGTTCTCAATTCTTTTCTTTACCTGCTATTCCTGTTTTCATGTTTCCAGTATTCTGTCTCACCTCTTTGAGGATATTTATACTTTAAAATTCTTTTTTCTGTCTGATTCATTATTTACAACAGATAGGAAACCTATACCAGAGAAAGCATCTTTCATAGTACTTACTTCCTTCAGTTGCCTCATATTTTCTTACAAGCTAATGTTCCCTTGAGATTGTTAGCCACTCTGATTGGTAATGTGCTCCTGGAAGGAAGATGCAAAAGCTTAGGCCCTATCTTATTCCCTTCCATTGGATTTAAGGCCTGGGGGTTGGGATAGAAGAGGAAATCCAGCCCAAGGCAGGAACACTCATGTCTCGCATTCATGTTGGTGTGCCCAGGGCCTTGCGCAGGGGGGACACCTCATAGGCTGTCGGTTGGGGTTGCTCGACTTGTAGGACTCTGTCTTACCTCAAACCCCTCACTTCGTTCTTCTTTGTCATTGTTTTCTAGGGGCTCAGCTCAGAGTTTCCAGTTGTCTGGGAAAATGCCAGAAGAGTTCACCAGATGCTGGGAGGCGGCAGCCCTTTTCTGGAAAGTCCTTTTACCTGGATCTGCCTGCTGGCAAGACTCTCCAGTTTTTGATGGAGGCCATCCAGCAGCTGGGTGGGGTATGTAACTTGCTTCTCTCTTGTGATACCATGTGCTTTTGCAGGTTGTGAGGCAGGAGGTGGAGAGGGATTATATCTGTGTCTTCCAGGTGTCTTTCATGATATCACTACATTTTCCTAAGCAATTTTAAGTATAAACCATTTTTTAAAATAAAGTCAATTTTTTCCTAATTAGAAAAATATCTGTTTATTTAGAAATTTTGGAGGACATGGAATTGCTCTGACAATCATCACTTTGATGTCTTTATTTTCTTCTGAACTTCCTTCCTTCCTTCCTTCCTTCCTTTCTTCCTTCCTTCCTTCCTTCCTTCCTTCCTTCCTTCCTTCCTTCCTTCCTTTTTCTTTCTTTCTGCCTTTCTTTCTTTCATGGCTTTATTGAAATTAAATTCCCATACCATACAATTCACCCATTTAAACTGTACAGTTCAGTGGCTTTTAGATCACAGAGATGTGCAAGTGCAATTACATAGTCAATTTTAGGACATTTCCATCACCCCTCAAAAAAAAAATCTATACCCATACTCCTCATTTTCCCTCAGCACACCCAACCCTGAGTAGCTACTCATCTACCTCTTTTTTTCTTAATGCTTATTTTCTGTGTAGCTATGATCATGAATATATTTTTGATTACCAACTTTTTGCCAATAACCTTAAAGCATTAGCACTTTCCTATTATTATTGCCCCTCATATGCATTGATTATAATGAGTATATAATATTTTTTTGAGTGGACTGTTGATTTACTTAACTACTCTATGGACATTTAGATTATTTCTAAATTTTAGCTCTTATAAATAACACAGTGATGAACAGCCTTGTGTAAAAAGCATTTGCTGTATTTGAGTCCTTTAAAATATTTTTAAAGCAGATGTATCATGTGGTACTTTCAGTAAAGGGTCGACATGGGTATCTCTTATGTTTAGAAAATAGGATGACAGTGTGTGGCCCAAAAGGGGCAGGTAACTGGGGAAACGGCTTGAACAGGCTTGGGATGCAGAGGCTTTGTGCTGTCAAACTAACAGAAACTCAGATGTAGAGACTCAGCGGTGAGGATGGGCTGAATGACAAGTATACCCCATACTGGCCCAGAATTACATTTCAACTTTTAGTCTATTCTGTCATTTAGCCTTTACTGTATAAAAAGCCACCCAGGAATTTGGGCTAAAAACAAGTTATTATTTCTGACTATTCTATGGATTAGCTGGGTGTTTTCTCTGCTGTCTTCATCAGGGCTCACTCCTGCAGCTGCTTTTGACTGGAGGGTCAGCTGGGTTGGAAGGACCAAGTTGACTTCAGTCACACATCCGGCAGCTGGTGCTGGCTGCCTCCATGGCTTCTCATTGTATAAGAAACCTTCTTACATGCAGTGTATGAATGTATGCTATCATGGGTATATACAGTGAGCTAGAATAGCCAATGTACATGGAGGTCTCAGAGCATCTTCCTCCAGGGAGGTGAAGGGAAAAGCTACAAGGCCTCTTGAAGCCTAGGCTCTAGAACTCACACATATATTACGTTGGCCACATTCTCCTGGTCAAAAAGAATCCTATTCAAGAGGATGGAATATAGGTTCCACCTCTTGATGGGAGGAACAGCAAAGTCATATGTGCAGCCATTGAACCATCTTCCACAATTATATAGGATAATCATTGCCCCACTCTCATTCACTAGCATTGGTTTTTGCCATATTACAGAAGGTAGACAGATGTACTTCTTCAAGCTATAAAGGTTTTTTTATAACTATAGTAAAATGTACATAACATAAAATACTCCATTTTAACCATTTTTATGTATACAGTTCATTGGCATTTAATTACATTTAATTACATTCACACTGTTTTGTAACCAAAATTTAATTACATTTTATGTGTGCAGTTCATTGGCATTTAATTACATCCACACTGTTTTGTAACCATTTAATTACATTTGCACTGTTTTGTAACTTTTTTGTTTCCAAAATTTTATCACCTCAAATAGAAACCCTATAACCATTAAGCACTAACTTCCCATTTCCCCTCCCCTAGTCTCTTTCCGTCTGTATGAATTTTCCTATACTAGATACCTCATGTCAGTGGAATCACTGATATTTTTCCTTTTGTTCGTGGCTTATTTCACTTAGCATAATATTTTTAAGATTCACCCATGTCGTAGCATGTGTCAAAATTTCATTTCTTTTCATGACTAAATAATATTCCATTGTATGGATATACCAATGTTGTTTATCCAGTCATGTGTTAATGGACACTTGGGTGGTTTCCACTTTTTGGCTATTGTGAAGCATCTGTTCAAGTCCCTGTTTTCAATTCTTTTGAGTATGCTTACTTAGACAGATAATTGCTACATTGTTTGATAATCCCTGTTTATCTTTTTGAGAAACCTAAACATTTTTTTAAAGCTGAATGGCAGGTTTCTCATCCAGTTACACTTTGGAGATGACATCTATCCTTATTTTCAGTGGTGTGCTGGAACTGGCTGGTACTGGCTCCCAGGAGCCAATTATTAGCATCTCTTTCCAAGTCCACATTCGGTGATGTCATGTCAGTAGTTTGAAATCAGCCATAGTGGGAGTGTTTACCCCACAGAAGTTGGCAAATTCTACAAAGCAGATTGCTTATTTCCATCTTCTTCCCACAAACATGAGTTAAGTGTCATTGTGCTTTAGGTACTGTGTTGGGCTCTTGGGATACAAAGATGACTCAGACTCTCTCGGTACCCCTGAGGGGCTTACAGGAAAGATGAGCAGATACTCATCAGCTGAGTAGTAGCCAAAACCCTTTTTAGTTTCATATTTTAGGCTTCTTTTGGTAGGGTAGTCAAGGTTACAGGTGTGGTATCCGATGTCCCAGTGTGCATTCACAGAAAAATCATGGCATAACCAAACTATCCTTTAATCTTCTCCTGTTTCTTCAGTGTGCTGTCGCTCCATACAAACTCAGACTGGTGAAATGACTCAAAGCCTCTGGCCTTCTGCCGCTGGGTCAGGAGCAGCAAGCAGTTCTGGAGACAAAAATCTGTATTATGTATATAAACCCTATTATATTTCAAGATGATGTCTTCTTGGGGGCCCAGGGCAGAGCTGCAGTTGGTCTATTTAAAGACATTGATTCTGATACTAATGGCAGCCAAGATTTCCTTCCCCAACCTCTCGGTATTGATGATTCTACATCTGCCTTTTGGTTTTCAGCCACCTCTGTGATCTGATTTCAGGTAATTGAGGGTTTTCTGAGCAAAGAAGTTAATTACATCGTGTCCAGCCGCAGGGAGGCGAAGGCAGAGAGCAGTGGGACAAGCTACAGAGGCCGCTCCAGCCCCAGCGAGATCAGAGTGGAAATCCCTTCCACAGCCAATCCAAAAGGCAGCCACACCGGGCCTTCACAGAAACCCGTGGACTCGGTAAGAACCTCATTTAGTTGGAAAGATGTGTTCTATAAACAAAGGAAGCAAGCCTCAGTGAGCCCTTTGAGGCAATCCCTGGTCTTAGTTTCATCTGGTTTAATTTAATTTCTCATTCGAATTCAGAGGCTGAAAATATTTTCTCACCGTACTGGATCTAAACAACTCACAACATTCTCTCCTGTGCTATTACTTTTATGATGTATTGTCACTTTTTATGGGACTGCAGAGTCAGCAGTTCAGAAATAATAGGAGGGTCCTCTATAAACCAGAGAGAGCTTGTTGGAATTGGCCCAGGCTTATCAGCAGGAGAGTGCAGAGACTCTTTAAGAGAGGTCTTAGAACTATTTGTAATACTTTGACCTCAAGTGAATTCAGAATGCCCTTCTCCACCAGGGTTCAGCCCGCAGCTACTTGTGGGTGGCCCGAACTTGGATGTGGCTTTACCTTTACCTCCAGAAGGTTCTCTAGGCTCTCATTTTTGCCACTCCTCAGCCATCACTGCTCTTAGCTTTCCGAGGCATGACTCTAAGACATCTTTGCCAGCTCCTGTGTAAATATCTGTCTGTGTGCAGGTGAGCTACCCAGCTTCATTGCTCTCCTCTTCCTGTCAGCTGCCCATGAGCAGGGGAAAGGAGCTCCTGCGGAAGGCCATCAGAAACCAGGTGAGCTGAGGGAGACAGCTGGAGGTGGGTGCCTGGCGCAAAGAGGGATCAGACTGCCTTCTGAGGTTCTTCTGAAATACAGATGACCCTCAAACACAGGTTTGAACTGTGTGGGTCCACTTATATGTGGCTTTTTTTCAATAAATACTCATGCTGTTTTTATCCATGGTTGGGTGTCCGCAGATGTGGAGGGTCGACTGTATTCATTGATCTTCATCATTTTATATAGGGGACTTGAGCATCCTTGGATTTTAGTATCCATGGGAGGTCATGGAACCAATCCCCCATGGATACCGAGGGACAGCAAGTTCTAGGGGAGTCAAATGTTTTATGCAGATTTTCAACTACATAGGGGTCAGCACCCCTAACCCCTGTGTTGTTCAAAGGTCACCTATACTAACACAAAATACTCAACCTGTGACATGTATTGTCATTTCCTTCTTACAAATGAGGAAGCAGGGCTCAGAGAAGTTGAGTGATTTGTCCAGAGTCGCCTAGGGTGTCAGTGGTAGAGCCAGGATTCGACTCCTTAATCTTTCCAACTAGGAGCTTACCAGGAGAGCCTTGGAAGGGTGCTGTGAGACATGTCTGCTCTGCACACAGCCAGGCTTTGTATACCTTTTATAAGTAGTTGTTTTTCTCTTTTGTGAGGCTCCAGAGCCATTAAAGTTAAGCCGGAGGAAGAGTTGAAGTCTTCTTGTGAGAAGAGTCATTAAATGACATCAGGATTGGTGCATTGGCTGTGATGAGGGAGGACGGTGTTGTCAGACTCGGCAGTGGGGTGGGAAAAGTCTGCAGCCAGCATAGCTTCCTGCTCCACCGTGGTGATTGTCACTGCTATTTCTTACCTTCTTGTGCGGAGGGCTTTCCACGCAGAGGCCCTCCCAACAAACAGCTCTTTTATAAGCATGTGTTCCTTCCTGGTCACCAGGTGGCTGGAGCAGAGCATATACATATACCAGCAGTCTATCCCCTCCTGATGTGGTCCATATGGAGGACAGGGGTCTCCCTAGGGGTTGGGGTACACTCTCCCCACCACATTCCTCCACATGGGGGATGCAGAGCTCCCAGAAGCCAGGACAATCTGTGCCCATAGTGCTCAGGCCTAGTGGTGTATCATGCTCTTGCCTGACCTTGCTTTGTCTTTCCAGGGGAGCAGCAGTGGAGGAGGCAGCGGGAGCAGCAGCAGCCTCCTGACCAGTGCCCGCTCCTGGGGAGTGAGGATTCTGCATGTGGATGGTACCATTTCTGCCTGGGGCTCCTGTGGAGGGGAGATTGGTGACTGACTGGGAACGTCCCCTTTTAGAGAGATCAGAGCTGTGTAAGCTGGCTAGAAGCTAGGCCTACTCAGTTACTGTGTTGATCTACAAGGTGGGAGGGTGTGGAGACCAGCAGGAACCACAGCAGAGTGTAAGCCCTGGAAGGGGCTGTTCCATTTAATCCACTCAATAGCGCTCCTCAAGTTAGTATAATGATCTTGTTTTACAAATAAGGAAATAATCCTAATATCCACTTATGACCACTTATCAGGTATTTACTCTGTGCTGGAAATTACCTCTTTTAATCCTCACTGCAGTCCTCTGCCTAGAGTACAGAGGAGGAAGTTGAGCCTCAGAGGGATTAAGTAAATTATCCAGTCTCACCAGGAGTGAGTAGTGTGGCCCACATTCCAACCTAGTTTGGCCCAACTAAATTTCACATTCTTTCTTTTCTATAGGGTTGCCTCATGCTATCACCACCTGTTTGCAGGTTGTAATAAATTTATACCAGAATGACTGTGCTGAGTCGGCTGGCAGTGACTGGCCCTCATACCCAACTCCATTTCGAGTCTGGGGTTTTTCTGATCCTTGAAGGGGGCTGGTCCAGATCCAGTCCGAGATCTGCCAGGGGGATAGAGAACTGTGCGTGGGAAGGTCCTGGTCTCGGATGTGGGGGTTCCATCGTCACTGGAAAATCAACCATTTCTGATTTCATCTAGCTTCCTGCCTTCTGTGTGTTAGAGAAACTCCAGCATGTGTAGCCCCTGCTGGCTCTTCCCCCGTAAGGATACATCTGAGTAACTTGAATGGCTTGGTCCTCCCACAGAAGCAGCTTCTCAGTGGCACCTTACAGCCCTTTGTGAGCCATAGGCACCTTGTGTTCAAGAGTTGTGTTCAGCGCTACAAAAGAGCCTGCAGCCAGCTTAGGTCCTTTTCCAGGGATAGAGAACCCAGCCTTTTTTTTTATTATCAGCAGGTGCAGAAGTGACACGTAGCCAGAAGGTGGCAGGCAAGGCTGGTGTGATCCAATGTGCCAGGCCGGGTGAGACTTTTAGTCCCCCAGCTCCAGGAAGGGGTTCTGCAAGGGAAGTGAAGAGTGGAAGTCTTTAGCCACAGCCCTCTGTTTTCTCCACAGAAATGATGATGCACGTGCAGCAACTCTCTCTAGATGCTTTATGTGCGAAGAAACAAGGGCCAAAGAAGCCAGAGGTAGA